GCTGGTGCGGAGGGAAGTCCCTCCGGAACGCAAATCCGCAACCACCAGCCGGAGCCCGCAGCGTCCGGGCGCCGCGGTTGAGGCCGGGAGAGAGGGCGCGCAGGGCGGACGAAGGAAGCGACGTCTGTTTCATGGAGGCGGAGGCAACAGAAAAGACCGGAGCCTGGATGCGGGCGAGCGGAGCCGCAGAACTCACGCCGGGCATGTCTTTCGGGAAAAGGCCGAACCTCGGCTGGGTCTGAGCATCAGGGGGAAAAGCCTGCGAGTTTAGAGGAAAAAGAAAAGGAGAGGAGGTTTTCTCTGGTTTGTGGTTATTGCTGCCATTGTAAAGGTAAAAAAAAGCATTGCATTTCAGGTGTTGTTTTTTTAAATTTTTTTTTTCTGGTGCGATTGGCTCACTTAAGAATTTCAGAACCTTTCGTGTAAAAGCTTTTTTTTTTTTTTTAAAGGAAATTCTTAATTTTGATTCCAGGGTTATACTGGACTTGGAAGGAGTGCTTTTGTTTACATACTATTGTATGGTTTAATTTTTTTTTCCTTTTTGCTGTGCAAATCAGCTGGAAGATATTTTTTTTCCAAGTGCCAATTCGGATTTATTCATCGCCCCCCTCTTTTCTCAAATGTATCTGTTGTCGTTTTAAGCATTGAAGAACGGAGAAATTTTTTCCCCCTTGGAGCTTGAAGCTCTTACCAACAGAAGGACAGCTGGGAAAACTGGATTAAAAGGATGGTTTTCATCTGTATTTTGTAGTAAGACTGTTATTTTGAGGGCATATTCTTTGTGTTTCGTTTTTTTAGCCTATAGCGCTAACCTTTTAGAAATTTGGGGTTGAGTTTTTGGTTTCTAAGGTCATAGTTTTTCCTTTTTTTCTTCCTTTTTTTTTTTTTTCTCAAGACGGGGGAGGGGAAAAGGGGACTAAGAAAGCAGACCATATTAACTGGTAAAGGAGAATGGAGCTTCAGTTACTAGGGTCCTGAGAGCTGGAGAAAAAGAATTCAATCTTCAAGTTGGGAGGCCCTTCCTCTCATCTTTCTTAAACATTGCAAGGATTCAATCCTGATCAAGACATCAATACTACAAGATTCTGAAACCGTGGAGACGCCGAGAAACCATGAGTGTAAGGTTACCCCAGAGTATAGACAGGTAGGTTTGCCAATATTCCACACTTAAGGAAAGACGGGGAGGGAGGGTGTTGCATTTTGGTAAAAGGTTGCAAAAGCAGGGCCTGGGCGGACTGTGGGAATGGTGGGGTAGGAGCATGCATTGATCTCTGGGGACTGTCTGGGCATGTGTGTTTATCTTCCCTGTTGTGTATCCATATTCGAAACATCTCCTGATTCAGTGTGTTGTTGTTTTTTTATACAAGCAATAGACAGTGAGGCCAGGAGTGGGAGGAGGGGCAAATGCTTCCAGCCAACTTTGGCTTTTGCCAAGCTAGAGGCCCAATTTGAGTCCTTAACTTGCCAGCCTAGAGGGTAGGGAATGGGGGAAAGCCTGGGTAAGGGTACGTGAATTTGAAAGGGTGGATTGGGACTGGCTTTAGGTGTTGGAGCTGCTGGGGGAAAGGGCCCCCACGGGACTGGTTGTTGTGGAATGGTGGGGTTTGGTGATAGGGTGGATCCCATTTCTAGAATGGGGAGGATGTTCGGGGTCTGAATGATGGGACAGAAACACCCTTTGCACCCCAACAGGGCTGGATTTTTAAAAAATTTTTTTTAACGTAGCTAATAACGGCTCCCAAATGAATAGGTCACATTAGAATTTTTTCCTCTCCAAGGTTAGGGTTTAACTTGAGACCTGCCAACTGGCTAATGCTCTAGATTTAATCTTCCAAGGCATTTTTAATAAGCTTGACTGCAAAATAGGCCTTCCCTCTGCCTAGAGCCGGAAGGAGTTGTTTTGGGACTAAAGGCCTGATGGGCAAATAGATATGCACTGGCCCTTAGAGTCTGAGCACAGGATGCCCATCCCCCATCTCCAGAGTCTGTCCAGCCTTCCCATTATTGGTCACAATACAGTTTACAACTTTGTAAGGTGTCTTTTCCCTCAACCCATTTTTTCCCCCTCCCCCAACCCCCATCCCCTTAACCTTTCTCCTTGAGAATCTTGAGAGAGGGTTGTTTTGTGGGTACTGTACGTTCATCCTAACAGGATGGAGGACTAAACAAGCAAATGGAAGGCCTGGGCCTGGAAAAAATATGAAAGAGATAGGGAAGACTCTTTGCAAGGGAGTAATTGCTTCCTTCATGTCCAATTAACTCATAATTCATGCTAATAATATTTGTGTGGCTTTTTGTTGTTGTTGTTGTTGTAGGTTTTTTTGCTATGGGATGTGTCTTAAAGTGCATATAGTCTTTCTCCCCACAACAGTAACCCCTATTGCCTCAGAGTCCTGTTTAGATTAGTTCATAGTCCTCAGACAGAGGACTGACTTTGCAGTGAAAAGGAAAAGGCAGATAGTCACAAAGAACAGAAAGTGTATGTCTGAACCTCCATCCTTTACCTTTTATTTTATTTTTTAAAATATGTTTTTATTGATGTTAGAGAGAGAGGAAGGGAGAATGAGAGTGAGAGAGGGAGGGAAACAATGACCTCACATGTCCCTGACCAGGGATTGAACCCACAACCTGGGTATGTGCCCTGATCAGGAATCCAACCAGCGACCTTTCGGTGCGCTAGGCAACGCTCAACCAACTGAGCCACACTCCATAGTCTGACTCTTATAAAGGGAGAACAGGCATGTCAAGGCAAGGAGTTGAGATGGTTTACATGCTGCCCTTTTCACCCTCTTGGAATTTGCATTTTTGAGATGTGGATGGTGGACGATTTGTCTGAATTCAGGGATATGAGAAGATGGAAACTTACGCGTTGGGAATACAAGAAGGAGGCAATGAGGGTTCCTGGACTGATGAGAGATGCTCCTCTGGGAGTTTGTATATCCTCAGTCATCTCAGGGTTTGTAGAGCACAGTACATTTTCCTAAGTGCTCTCATAGGAACAGATCTCATTTGAGCCTCACAGTATTGCTGTGAGGCAGATAAAGCAGCGGTTATTACTCCCATTTTACAGAGATAATTGAGGCTCATAGAGGATACCTGGCTTGCCCAGTGCCATCTTGCCTGACTCGTAGCAGAATCTGGACTCACACACAGATCTTCTGATTCTGAATCCATGGCTCTTTTCATGGCCCCACTCTGTCTAAATAGTTTTGTATACAGTGGGGCACTGTTTCATTCTCTTTTTGGCAGTGGGGTAAGATGCTCTTCATCATTCCTTTGAACTTTTTAACAGTGTTGGGGGCTCACACCTGTAATTTCTGTGGTTAAAGCCCCATTTTCTCCTGTGTCATCATTCAGCTTTGTAGAGTGAGTATGCTCCTCACTTCTACTCCGACCCCGATTCCCTTCCCCATTAGAGGATCAGTTCTGGGGCCTTTGCCCTCTTCAAGTTATCTCCGGTTGCTTTGGATCTTATCCCTTTTGCTGTAGACTCATGTTGGACTTTCTGACATTCCAGGTTCACGACCCTGTGGATTTTAAATCACAACCTGTAGGAAAGCATGTACCTGTGGGTTCTTTCCTTGATCCCCTCCGTTCATTTCTGAACTGTAGGAGACGGAGCTCCCCTTGGACTTGCATGACCCCCATCACTGGGGATGCTTATTTGATGGTTGATTTTGCTGTGTTGGATACTTCCATTTGCTATCATTTTGTAACATATGCTGACCCTTTCCCGTCCCCTCTTTTCCCTGGGAAAATAAAATGAATAAATAAAGAC